ACTTCGGAAAAGGTAATGGTGCTACATTGGCGCCGGCGGCAGTTTCGCAATAAATTGCTCTAGCGCCAAGACTAGTTGCCATATTCCTAATCTAGATTTCAAAAATCTCAGTGAGCTTGATCATTACAGTTTCCTATAGACTAGTCTGCAGGAACCGTCCGGTGTCGCGATCGAAATTATGACATTCTTTCGTGGCACGAACACCATTTGGCGTCACGACCTCTTTCACCTAAGGTCCCTATAAATTTGCACTTGGAAGCCAAGGATCCTTATCGCAAATGTGACACAAGGCGTCATTTGGCGCCACTGAGCGCTAGTTTGGCGCTACGATATTTTGCACCGGAATCGATGTAAGCTAACGAACCACGGCTACTTGTTATCTGTTATTGCAAGTGTGACATTTGTGTTCTGCCCCGACAAAACTTTGCTGGGGCCTCGATCATGCTTGACGGCGGAGATCAGCGTAAGCGTCGTTTTGGGGGAGCGCGCAGAGTCCCAGGGAATATTGTATTAAAGCTGATGAGTCTACAGCAATTTCGGTGAGGAGTTCGTGGCGCCACAATTCAACATCATATTCGTGATCCCCGAACATCTCCTATTCGCAATCCCGGAACGTGTCCAATCGCAAATTTTCATCAGTTCCAGTGAAATAGATTGTGGCGCTAAACCGGCATCGGGTGGCGCTAGATATTAGTGTCATATTGCTATAGTGTTGGCTAATGTTGCAGGCTAATGATTAGGCAATTGACCAACATCGCCGTGTTGTACTTTGGCATATATTCACGTGGTACACTATCGACAAATTTGATTAGGATATTGAGAATTCGTCGAAGCACACCCTCTCTGCTCTGACACTTCGGAGGTCGCATCAGTTTGCAAGAATTTCGCGTTTTGTATCACGTGAAGAGGAGAAGGCCGAGGATCCGTAGGTTCCGGGTAAACTTCTTATCGGAGACATCATGTGGGATGAAGAAGTCACCCAGCGGCGAGAGCAAAAGACAAATGCCGATTGTCGAGAAGAATTTGCCTGGCGGGGACGGGACGTTCGGGAGATTGCTGTACTACCCTCTGACAGGCCACAGTGAATGAGGAGCAGAAGGATGAACACCCAGTTGTTGTGGAGAATGCAGCGAGCGAGGACAACGTGCTGGGCAAAGCGACTGAAAAATCAGCCGGAAGCGAACTGCTGCTCAATCTGTAGTATGCTACATCCAACCGCGCGAGGGCATACTTTGTTTTTGGCACTATGTCGGCATACTTTTGTCTTGGGCGGTTGTATCGAGGGCAGTGTTATAGATACTGGCTAATTATTGGCAGAGCAGACCAACAGTTGGAACACGTACCCGGCAATGGTGGTGATTGGACGAACATAAACTGTTACCGCGGGTACATGACTGTATCCGCGTGATACACTGTTGATAGCTATGATTCGGATACTGAGGATCTGTAAGCACGCCATTCTCTGGTTCCTCAAAGGCCGCTTAGCTTTGCAGTGTTTTTATATTGCGTGAAGAGCTGGAGGCCGAAGATCCAGATTTCCGGATAAACTCGCTGCGAGTGCTTGACAAGTGCCCACGCGCTTACCCACTGAGTGATATCTTGTCGAAACCGCATAGGTGTCGACTTTTCGCTCTGCGGAAAGGTGGGGGTCGTACCTGGTCGTTGGGAGAGAGGGGGGTCTGGATGCTTTGAGAGAAATTTGTCGCATTGTTTTTCGGTTGCTGACTTTTTGCGTAATTTTTCCTGTTTCATAAGGCAATGTTCAGTTTGTCCTCCCTCCCCTTTTTCACACTTCATAACGGAAAATCTTTGGGTGAAAAAAACTGGAAAATGTGGGTATTGGTAGGTAGGTGTTGTGCGGAAGGGGGGGCTCGTACTGGACTCATTGCGGGTGGAGGAACGTCGTACTGACACATCTCCTGTCGGAGGGGTGGGGACGGTTCAGCCACACCTCGCCCATTTTTCACGATGCTTTACCCTGCTCAGAAGGCATTTAGTTAATAAGGATTTTATATCTCATGAAATGGAAGAGGCATAGAATCCAAAGGTTCTAGATGATGTGCTATGGGAGACATCAATGTGGTGATGAGGAAGGTCAACTCAGGGAGAGAAAATGACTGAGATACCGATTGTCGAGAACTTCCTTGGTGAGGACGTTCAGCGGATCGCTGTAGCGGGACCATCCTCTGGCAACATTGATTGAGGAACAGAAAGATGAGCACCCTGTTGTTATGGAAAAATTTGCGAGTGTTGGATACAGCGATCGAAAAATCAACCTTTGAAGAACTCGCTACGTGGGAAGAGAACGATGAGCAGTGGGATGATCCCACTGTTGTAGAAAAGCCTGCAAGCGAGGACAACGTGATCGAATCATGTGTTCACTAACTACATCGCACCACTTTATCGCATACTTTAATTTGCAGTTGTATGGAGCACAGTAAATATTTGTGAGTCATTGAGGACCTTGTCGCAGTAGGTGATCTTACACGCTCACCACCACTAGCAACTATATCCGCGATTATGGCGTGAAAAAAATAACGCCATGTCCGGATTCTCCAAGTGAACTTTCCAATAACACATTTTGCGAATGAAACCTGCCCCGCTGCGTGACACACATGGTATGTCACACCAGTATTGCCTAGCAAAATTCCGTGGACCTATGTGAGCACCACGCGAAAAAGGTATCAGTTGGCGGCGCGTCTATCTGTAATTGAACATCATGTAGGTATCGTGCTCAGCTACTCATTTCAGTGATCCTGTTAATTGCATTCCACGCCTTCCTTGCCAAGCTTTTATGGTCGGAATGGCGAAAAGGCGATATGACGCCTTACAATCCTTATTTGAGAAATCGGTACGCCTCAAGTCGTTCTCACTGAGTTTTCAGAATTATTTATTGCCTAGTTGAAGAAATTGTGATCCTTGTTATAATGGTCTTCATTTTTCCCACATAGTCGTCATCTTCTTGTATATTACAGCATGATTATTTCCGTGAAATTGTATTGGAATCTCCAATTTTCCTTTCCAATTTACGACAAGCCAATATTAATTAAATTTTATTTTTAATACGTGTATGTAACTAATAACATGTATTTGCTAATAACTTTCTTTATTGCCTACGGTATTGCCCGACGAAATGCACTTGTAGTCTTTAATAACTACGGTTATATATGCTTGTTTTCTTTGAAGCCTTTTCAGAGTAATATTATTAATAAAAAATATTTTATTGTTCTGTATCTTGCCAGAAGTTGGTTGTAGCCTTGTATTTTCTGCAAAGAGGAAGTCACTGAGCGCTTAACTTGATTTGTAAAGTGATTATAGGCAGAAGAATTCATATATCGACGTTTAGTGAAGGATCTTGTAATGGTTAGTTCAGGAATTCATCTCATTGGGCTTTCTTCGGGGGCCACTGTGCGTGTATAGGAGGGGGACCCGGTGGGTCGACCATGCTTGTCTCCTCCTTCTCTTCAGCCTTAGACGCTCATACATAGTGGCAGCGTCAACCAGTGTCCAGGAGTGGAGAGTATGGGGAAGTAGGAGAGAGCAAATTCTGGTATTAGACGTGAACAGTGCGGCGTACTGATGCAACCGCGTGCGTGCTGCTACACAACTACCGTGCATTAGACTGCATAATTTGTCATTTAGAGTTGTGCATCTGCGGTAGCACACGCCCTAATTCACGTTGCCTAGCCAGCTGCTCCTTTCTCCTAGTTCTCCACTCTACCGGCCCAGTCTATCACCTCCTACTTCCATTATCCCACTTCTGCGCTGTGTTCGCTAGTCGGACGCGACCGCAAAGTGATACGCCAGATTGAGAGTAGTGGCGGACGAAAATAGGGCGATCGCTCTCACTGCTTGCCCCGCTAACATGGTCGCCACATTATTATCTTTTATAGGTTTTGCAGCTTGTTCCCATGGCTCTTTATTTCTTCACTGCCTTTATCTTACTCTATTTAGTCTTTTGCCGGTTTCCTTGATATAGCCCGGAAAGATGTTGATATCCCATCCAGCGCTCCCAAAATAGGAGTTTTTAATCCGATATTGTTTGTTCATGCGGAGTTCATCACGAACTTTGAAAAGAAAAAGGACTCTTATGTAAGTGATTCAAATTCGATTGGAAATTCTTTTACTAAGCATTGTCACTTCTTTACCATTGGCAAAAGTTTTAAGGCCCTCAAGTAGCCCTCTACTGCGTTCTGAGATTTCCTAGAGTGAAATTTCTCACGCATTGCCTACTGTTCCCTAAAAAATGTGTCAGAATAATTTTGAATTGATATACAGTCTTGTTCGCAGAGGATGTGGGGGGGGGGAGTGTCAAGGGACATGGGGAAGGCTTGGTTTGATGCGATGTTAGACCATTTTTTTACCAGTTGTTGTAACTTGTCCTCTTATGCTTTCGGTGAAGAACAGGCTGACGCCTCACCAACCCCGCCCCTCTCCCTCCTGACACTTCCCAGCCATCGCAGCGAACTAGACTACAACTTCACTTCCTTTTCCTTGCTTCCTTCCAAAGAACGCTGGTCGCTTCCCTCAGGAATCACGCTTCTCATGCGTTTTGAAAAGCTTCTGACTCGACTGGGCTTACCTCCTGCAGGTGATTTCACTCAGAATTGGTTCTCGACCTGTGCTGTCCTGAGCCAACAGACGTCTGGGTTAACTGACTTCTCCAGCACAGAGTACATTTTTTGTAGCGCAAATCTGAACGAGGGTCATCTTTGATCGTTGTGGGCAAAGGGCGTATTCAACCTCAGGTCTGCAAATCTATTTTCCTCGTTCTCTGCACGCTATATGCCTCCTAGTTGGCGTCTCGGCAAAACTATTTGTCGGCTGGAGGTACCTTCCTTGTAACTCCCTTCCATCTCTATGGCAAGGTCTTGGGTTTTAGGAAAAGCCTCTTAGAAGGAGGAGAGGTTGTGAAAGGGTAGCTGCACTGAAGGAGAAAATTTAGCTGAAGGAGCCCGAGAGAAATCGTGTCCTGAAAAAGTCGTACACAGCGCGATGATATCCGTTGCTTGGGCAGAAGGGACCCCACAGAAGAAGAGGGTTCGAATTCTCCCTAAACCTGCACACTGGAAGTGCAGGAAGTCTCTGACACGGGAACTCTGAAACCGAAGGGATTTGTGGAACAAAAATTTTTGCGGAAGCGCTCCACATTTCAAAACGAACTGTGGAAAATGAATGAGAAGGGGTGGCATTCATTGAATTTGGGTGATTTTTTCCATAAATTTTTTTCAGGAGTACATTATGGCAGAACCTCTACGCTTGAGCGGGATCTACTGGTGTGTGAGCGCTTTGTGCATTCAGAACAAGGTAAGACAATGGTAGTCTCGTAGTATCAGTTTTCTCATGTATCTTCCCCAGTCACAGTTTTATTTTGAGGGCTGAGATGATTGGGAATCATCGGGCGAGACTATGCCGCCGCTACTTCGGTTCCAAGAAGGGGCTGCATACGAGTACTTTCATTCGCGTAGC